CGTAGTCGTAGTCGTAGTCGTAGTCGTAGTCGTAGTCGTATTCGTAGTCGTAGTCGTAGTCGTAGTCGTAGTCGTAGTCGTAGTCGTAGTCGTTGTAGTCGTAGTAGTGGTAGTAGTAATCATAAGTGTTGCCCTAGTAGTGGTAGTAGTAGTCGTAGTCGTAGTAGTAGTAGTAGTAGTAGTAGTAGTAGTAGTAGTAGTTGTAGTAGTAGTAGTAGTGGTGGTAATAGTAGTAGTAGTAGTAGTAGTAGTAGTAGTAGTAGTAGTAGTAGTAGTAGTAGTAGTTATAGTCGAGTAGTAGTCGTAGTAGTAGTAGTAGTAGTAGAAAAGTAAGTAGTAGAAGTAGAAGTCGTAGTAATGTCGTAATACTAGTCGTAGTAAGTAGTAGTATAGTAGTAGTATAGTAGCAGTAGCAGTAAGTAGTAGTAGTAGTGTAGTAGTAGTAGTAGTAGTAGTAGTAGTGTGTAGTGGTAGTGTAGTGGTAAGTGTAAGTAGTAGTATAGTAGCTTGTAGTAGTAGTAGTAGTAGTGGTGTATGGTAGGAAAGTAGTAATAGTAGTGAATTCTAATAATATAAGAGTCTTTAAATAAGAAAAGTAGTATAGTAAACAGTTAGGGAGTAGCGTATAGTAGTTTTAGTCCCTATTTGTAGTCGTATTGGTAGTAGTAGAAGAGTTGTACAAATAGTATAAGATAGTCGAAAGTAGTAGTAGTAAGTAGTAATAGTAGTAGTAATTAGTAGTAGTAGTAGTAGTAGTAGTAGTGACGTAGTAGTAGTAGTAGTACTAAGTAGTAAGTAGTAGTAGTAGTAGTAGTATTAGTTAATAGTAGTAACGTAGTAGTAGTAGTAGATAGTAAGTAGTAGTAGTAAGTAACATCAGCAGTATCCGTATCATTATTATTAATTATTCTTGAAAGTAAGAGTAGTAAATAGTAGTAGTGTAGTAGGAGTAGTAGTAGTAGTAGTAGTAGTGGTAGTAGTAGTAGTAGTAGTAGTAGTCTTCGTAGTCTGCGTAGTAGTCTCAGTAGTCGTAGTAGTCGTAGTCGTCGTAGTAGTAGTAGTAGTAGTAGTAGTAGTAGTAGTAGCAGCAGTAGTAGTAGTAGTAGTAGTAGTAGTAGTATTAGTAGTCGTAGTCGTAGTCATAGTCGTAGTCGTAGTCGTAGTCGTAGTCGTAGTCGTAGTCGTAGTCGTAGTCGTAGTCGTAGTCGTATCAGTTGTGGTAGTAGTTGTAGTAGTAGTCGTAGTAGTAGTAGTAGTAGTAGTAGTAGTAGCAGTAGTAGTCGTAGTAGTAGTAGTAGTAGTAGTAGTAGTAGCAGTAGTAGTAGTAGTAGTAGTAGTAGTAGTAGTAGTAGTAGTAGTAGTAGTAGTCGTAGTCGTAGTTAGTAGTCTCGTCGTGGTGTCGTTGCCGTTAAGCCGAGCTTAGTAGTAGTAGTAGTAGTAGTAGTATAGTAATATTCTTATTAGTAGGAGTAGTGAGTAGTTTTGTAGTGATAGTAGTAGAGTAGTAGCAGTGATGGTAGTAGTAGTAGTAGTAGTAGTAGTAGTAGTAGTGTAGTAGTAATAGTCGTAGTCGTAGTAGTAGCAGTAGTAGTAGTCGTCGCGTCGTCGTCGTCGTCAGTCGTCGTCGTCGTCGTCGTCGTCGTAGTAGTTCATAGTAGTAAGTAGCAACAGCAGCAGCAGCAGCAGCAGCAAGCAGCAGCAGCAGCGTAGTAGTAGTAGTAGTAGGAGTCGTAGTAGTAGTAGTAGTAGTAGTAGTAGTAGTAGTAGTAGTAGTAGTAGTGGTAGTCGTAGTAGTAGTAACAGCAGTAGTAGTAGCATTAGTAGTAGAAGGAGAAGTCGAAGTAATAGTAGTAGTAGTAGTAGTAGTAGTAGTAGGAGGAGTAGTAGTAGTAGTAGTAGTAGTAGTAGTGGTAGTGGTGGTGGTGGTAGTAGTAGTAGTAGTAGTAGTAGTAGTAAGGAGTACAGTGGTAGTAGCAGCAGTAGTAGTAGTAGTAGTAGTAGTAGTAGTAGTAGTAGTAGTATTAGTAGTAGTAGAAGCAGTTGTTGTAGTAGTTGTAGTAGTAGTCGTCGTCGTCGTCGTTGTAGTAGTAGTAGTAGTAGTAGTCGTAGTAGTATTAGTCGTAGTCGTAGTCGCAGTAGTCGTAGTCGTAGTCGTAATCGTAGTCGTAGTCGTAGGCGTAGTCGTAGTCGTAGTCGTAGTCGTAGTCGCAATCGTAGTCGTAGCCGTAGTCGTCGTAGTAGTAGTAGTAGTAGTAGTAGTAGTAGTAGTAGTAGTAGTAGTAGTAGTAGTAGTAGTAGTGGTGGTAGGAGTAGGAGTAGGAGAGGTAGTAGTAGCAGTAGTAGTGGTAGTAGTGGTAGTAGTGGTATTAGTCGTAGTAGTAGTAGTCGTAGTAGTAGTAGTAGTCGTAGTAGTAGTAGTAGTAGTAGTAGTAGTAGTAGTAGTAGTTTTAGTAGTAGTAGTAGTAGTCGTAGTAGTAGTAGTAGTAGTAGTAGTAGTAGTAGTAGTAGTACTACTACTACTACTAGGAGGGGGAGGAGAAGGAGTTTGAGATGGAGGATGATAACGATGATGAGCATGTGGGGGAGGAGGACGAGGACGTACGGTGAAGAGGATAAAACGAGAAGCGGAGTAATACGACGATATGCACGATACACGATGATATGCATGATTATTCATCTCCTGCTCTCGCCTCTCCCTCTCTCTCCGTCTCTCTCCCTTTCTCTCCGTACCTTTTCCTTTCTCTCTCCCTTTCTCTCTCCCTTTCTCTTCTATAGTTCTCTCCCTTTCTCTCTCCCTTCCATTCCATTTCTCTCGCAGGACTCCTTTGCCGCTCCTTCCCGATTGAACCCTCACGTTCGCTTTACCGCGATTGTAGCCTGCAGGTGTCCGCTCCGTTCTCGCCACTCCTGAGGTGACAGGGATTGCAGCCCTGACGAGAGCGACGACGAGGATGACGATGAGGATAAGGATCGAGGACGCACGAAGAAGCACACAATCAGCACGGGCAGCGAGAACAGTGGCAGCAGTAGCAGCCAGAGGTGTGTGACCAGTAGGGGGAACAATCTTTGATGCTGATGATGATGATGTTGATGCTGATGAGGCTGCTGCTGATGATGAGGATGAGGACGAGGATGATGCTGCTGCTGGTGATGATGCTGAGTATGATGACGAGTATGATGATGCTGCTGACGATGATTGATGATGCTGATGATGATGCTGATGCTGCTGATGATGATGATAGTGATGGTGCTGGTGATGGTGATGATGATGGTGATGGTACTGCTGATGATGATGCTGATTATGATATGGATGATGATTATGATGATGATGGTGATGATGATGATGAT